AAGGATGTGGAAGCATTGGAAAGGGTGCAGAGGAGATTTACCAGGATGTTGCCTGGTATGGAGGGAAGGTCTTATGAGGAAAGGCTGAGGGACTTGAGGCTGTTTTCGTTAGAGAGAAGAAGGTTAAGAGGTGACTTGATAGAGACATACAAGATGATCAGAGGATTAGATAGGGTGGACAGTGGGAGCCTTTTTCCTCGGATGGTGATGGCTAGCACGAGGGGACATAGCTTTAAATTGAGGGGTGATAGATATAGGACAGATGTCAGAGGTAGGTTCTTTACTCAGAGAGTAGTAAGGGTGTGGAATGCCCTGCCTGCAAAAATAGTAGACTCGCCCACTTTAAGGGCATTTAAATGGTCATTGGATAAACATATGGATGATAATGGAATAGTTTAGGTTAGATGGGCTTCAGATTGGTTTCACAGGTCGGCGCAACATCGAGGGCCGAAGGGCCTGTACTGCGCTGTAATGTTCTATGTTCTATGATAGAATGCAGAGCTGGCCTGAGAAGTGACAGATGGAGTTTAACACTGAAAAGTGTGAGGTGATTCATTTTGGAAGGACAAACTTGAAAGCAGAATACAGGGTTAACAGAAAGATTCTTGGCAGTGTGGAGGAGCAGAGGGATCTTGGGGTTCATGTCCACAGTTCCCTGAGAGCTGCCACCCAGGTGGATAGATTTGTTAAGAAGGCGTATGGTGTGTTAGCTTTCATTAATAAAGGGATCGAGTTCAAGAGCCGTGAAGTTATGCTCCAGCTATACAAAAGCCTGGTTCGGCCACATCTGGAGTATTGTGTCCAGTTCTGGTCACCTCATTACAGGAAAGATGTGGAAGCATTGGAAAAGGTGCAGAGGAGATTTACCAGGATGTTGCCTGGAATGGAGGGAAAGTTTTACGAGGAAAGGTTGAGACAGCTGGGGCTTTTCTCTTTAGATCGATGAAGGATGAGAGGTGACTTGATGGAGGTGTACAAAATGATCAGAGGTATAGATAGAGTGGACAGCCAGAGACTTTTTCCTAGGGTGGAGGTAGCTATTACGAGGGGGCATAGTTTTAAAGTGAAAGGAGGTAGATAGCAGGGAGACGTCAGAGGTAGGTTCTTTACTCAGAGAGTGGTAGGGGCGTGGAATGCATTGCCGGAGAGGGTAGTGGAGTCGGCCTCATTAGGGGCATTTAAGCGGCTATTAGATAGGCATGTGGATGATAGTATAAGGTAGGGGTGGAGGTTAGATAGACCTTAGGATTAGGGTAAAAGTTCGACACGACATTGTGGGCCGAAGGGCCTGTACTGTGTTGTACTGTTCTATGTTCTATAGTCATTACAAGCTATAAACCCACAAAAAAGACTTTATAATCAATAATAGCAGTCTAAATACACACCATCCAGACTCCCCCAATCAGCAGCTTCTCCTTGCCCAATAGATATTACTTTAATAAAGAGGAGTACTTACCAATGAAAGAAAAGGATGGACTGATCACTTCCTTTCTCGTTTAACTCTGGTTACACTCTAATATAACAAGACAGCATTCCAATATTGAAGGAGCCCTCCTTTCATGGCTCCTCATTCAAAGGGTTCTGGAATTGGAATCAACCTGTTGTCTAATTAACCAGCTTCAGCTGAGTACCTGTAAATTCCTGTTTGAAAGCTGCAATTAAACTGCACCCAATCAAAACAGCAACTTTTAGTTAATTGCTAAATTAAAGAGACTAGATTTTAGACTGAAATTGCCCTTGAATTAGATGATTTCTTAAAACTTATTCCTTGAGGCTGCCTGTTTCACCAAACTCCAGTTACACTCTAATAACAGTGTGATAATAACAGTGCAGAATATAACAGTCTCTAGGCCGTTACACACTGCTTTAGCTTTGGGGTCCTAGTTTTCAACTTACCTCCTAACTCTTTATATTCGACGTTTTGTTCATTTCCAGAAAACTTTCAGGTAAGACTAGTGTTTGCCAGAAAATTGATTGATCTGGCCTTAATCAGTTGTCGTGAGATCCATGGATTATTGTAGGAGTAAAAGGCTGGAATGAGACTGTGCTGAAACGAGACTGTGCTGAAAGTGTCAGTGCATGGCCATAGGCCATCAGTGCTCTGTGCATTTTTAACACTGACTTATTCTGATAAGAGGGTTACAGAATGGATGGAATTAATTTTGCTGTCAAACTGTTGCTCATTGTAAATGAAATTTCTCTTTCCAATTTATTTGTGTCTGACCACAAGACGAGCTTTGGAACTTTGTGGATGGGAATGACTGGAGAAATGATATAGTGCAGGGCCATCAGTGACTGTACTGATCAACAATGAAGATTCCTTCAATTCAATCCAAATCTCATTCTCTCTGACAACATTAAAATTCAAACAAAATGTGTCAGCCAACAGCAGCAATCCTTCAGGCTGAGCCAAACCAGACCTGGAGCTGGGCAGTGGGACAGGAGCAAGAGTGGACCGGAAGTGTTGATTCTGACCCACCAAGTACAATGGGCTCTCCAGAATGAACCTGTTTTAACAGGAGGGGATAGAATGAGCTGTCAGAAGGTTCACAAATATCAAAATAAATCATCATTTTTCTTAGTGAAATGTGCCACAAAATTCAACCTAGTTCAAAGTCATCAAGCAGTGAGTGAACAAAGTTCTTGATCTATTGACTTCTTGGTAATATTATGTGTGATAAGGCAGATTATTTAATAAGGAACTGAATGGACACCCAGTATGTCTTAAATATAACTGATTCATATCAATAAATACAGCAAATCATCTCTGCTTATGAGTAATGTTCAATCCTTCACCAGAACTCAAAGTAGATTAAACAGCAGCCCTTACAAATCTGGAGAATATTTGAAGTGAATGGTGCAATCACAGCAGAGCAGACGATATAGATCGAGGCAGAAGTTACACACAGGATCAATGAAACACTGATTGGCAGCTTACAGCAGCTGAGGCCCTGAGTTCTCAGTCAGCTTTAGATTCAGGGTAGGTTCAGTATCTTTCACTGGGACGACCAGGTGAGACCCTCGAATCACCAGCTCATGCCCTCCACAGGCCTGATCCTGTTCCTGAGCATCTTCCAGACTCTGAGTGAGGTTCCTGTGATCAGAACTACTGTTGTAGCTGGAGTCAGTCGTAACCAAGGTTGAGTCTCCAAATGACAAACTGATATCACCATCGTTTAGAATCAGCTCAGAATCATCATCATCCTTCAGCTGCTCCTGGTTCTGAGAAGGAGAAGCAATTAGTTTAAGATGCCTGACATTAATTTTGCTTTTATTCAATAACAGGGTGTGGGTGTGGGTGTGGCTGGCTGGGCCAGCATTTACTGTCAATCCCTAGGCATCCTGGAGAAGCTGGTAGCGAGCTGCCTTCTCAAACTGGTACAGTACATAGGGTTTGTGGGGTCACCCACAAAGCAGTTACGGAGACAGCTCCAGGTTTTTGTAAACGTACACGCACAGATATTGTGATAAAATAGGAATTTATAAATATACAGGAGTGCATGCACAGTCAGCTAGCATTTACAGAAAAGCCACAGATAGATGTGAACTGATGGCATTAACAGTGTGTGCTATACCACAGCAGTAGATCCTCATGTTAGCCGCTGGCCAATGAAATAGCGTCGCTGAGTGAGAGCTGGGATTCGTTTGCGTGTCCAACATTTGGACAGTGTGAATATCTGGAATTTGGGAGGAACTAAACCAATGATAGACCTCCCTACAGCTCCTCTCTGATTGAAGTATGGAGTTTCACATAGTGAGCACAAAAAGACACAAACCCTAGCTCCCTCCAGCTTTTAGAAACTTCTGGCAAAAGCAACCAGAGAGATGTGTAGACAATAAGATGTTCTCACCTCATAGGCCAGGGGGCTGGTCAGGAGCCTGGCAACTGGGCCACAGCAGCTGGGCAACGTGCTGGTGAGGGGGGGGCCACTGTGTGTTAATATTGGCTTCAAATAACTGGGTAACTCTGTGAAGGAAAACAGCTTCACAAACTGGCTGTAAGTGGAGAAAACAGGAGAGGGACAACAACAGGAACTGAGCGACAGAAACCTAGGGCCCACCTCAGGAGGGGGGTAAGGGGGAAGAGATCCCCCCGTTAGACGGGGTAATACAGAGAGTTTGCTTGACACAGTGGGTTGTTGTCTGGGTGGCTTGTCTGTAATTTAATGGGACACCAGCAGCAGGTTAATTCACAATTTAATGACTGGCTGAAGTCAGTCTGAAGGTCCTGCCCTCTAACCTCGCTCTGTCACCTGAGTCATGATGACCCTCAGGTTTAACTCAACACCAGTCATTTCTTCACCCAAAGAGTGGTGACCCTGTGGAATTCATTACCTCAGGAAGTAGTTGATGCCAAAACATTGAATATATTCAAGAGGCGGCTAGATATAGCACTTGGGGTGATTGGAATCAAAGGTTATGGGGAGAAAGCAGGATTAGGCTATTGGGTTGGATGATCAGCCATGATCATGATGAATGGCAGAGCAGGCTCGAAGGGCTGAATGGCCTCCTCCTGCTCCTGTCTTCTAGGTTTCTATGAATCCTTTAGGACCCTGAAGATTTTCACTTTCCGTAAGGCACCGCTAACAAATTTCAGAGAATGCCTACAGAAGAGGCCATTCAGCCAGTCGTGTCTGTTTTGGCTCTCTGAAGGAACAATTTATCTTGTACCTCTCCCTTTAGACCTGCATATTTTCATTCTTCAGGTATTTGTCTGATCCCCTGTTTAAAGCATGAATTGAACCTGCCCACAACACACGTTCAGGCAGTGCATTCCAGAAATCCCAACCCCTTGATGCACGAGAGAGATTTTCCTTGTCTCGCCATTGCTTCTTTTAACAATTAGCTTAAATCTGCACCCTCGATCTCTTGATCCTTCCCCCAACGGGGCCAGTGTTTCATCTCAGCTCTGCCTAGACCCCTCACGATTTTGAAAATTTCTATCAAATTTCCTCTCAGGCTGCTCAGTTCCAAGGAGAACAAACTCAAACTCTTCAATCATTTCTTATAACAGAACTTTCTCATCCCTAAACTATTCCTATATTCACATTCTTCCTGTAGACTAGTGCTGAGAACTGCACATAATACTTCAGCTCAGGTCTAACAAGTATCTAATGTTTTAGAGTAGATTTGTAGCTCGGGTTGTGGGTGTTGAGGTTGGTTGGCTCACCAAGCTGGTTTATTGTTCCGCAGACGTTTCATTACCCTGCTCGGTAATATCATCAGTGCAGCCTCCGATGAAGTGCCGTTGTGTTTTCCTGCCTGGTTTTTAAACTCTGGAGTCCGTTCAGCTGGATTACCTCACTTCCAATTTTCCTTCACAATGGAGCCTATATGGGGCCTAGCTCTATGTGTTTGTTGATGGCTTTCCTCATGGAGAACCAGCTTCCAGGAATTCCCGTGCTTGTCTCTGCTTTGTCTGTAACAATCAAACTGGTGGTTTTCCTTGTCGACGTGGATGGACTTGAGTGAGTATTGGTCGTGTCTTTTGGTTGCTAGTTGATGTTCGTGTACCCTTGTGGTTAATTTCCTTCCTGTCTGTCCAATGTAATGTTTGTCACAGTCTCCGCAGGGAATCTTGTGTATGATGTTGGTCCTATCCATAGTGGGTAACGGGTCTTTGATTCGGGTTAGCAGTTGGTGTAGGGTTGATGTGGGCCTCCACACAACCGGCTCCACAGATATGACAGAGAAATTACGCGCCAAAAACCTTTATTCCTAGATGCTACCAACCAGGACTGGACAACTGACTTAGAACGAGCCATTGACATCAGTCCACAGACTACAAGAGCCAAGAAACTAGCCAAACTAACCCACCAAAACGACAAGAATAGAGCAGATACCTGGATAAGAAACCTTTCAGACAGGAAACTGACAGTCACAGAGAAACATGTTCCCATTCACGGACTCAACTTCAACGACAGAGACGTCAACAAAACAGAATTCCTAGCCACACTGAAGACCAACGCCATCAATGAAGAAACACAACAAGCCGTAAGACAGACAGTGATCCCAACACTGACCAGAAGGAGCAAACTTAACACTCTTAACACATCAGAAAGGAAGGCCCTAGAAGGACTGAAAAAGGACAAAAATATCATACTACTACCAGCAGACTAAGGGCGCCTGACGGTAATAATAAACAAACTAGACTACTCTTCCAAGGCATAGACAGCACTAGCCACTGAGAACACATACCAGCCCCTTTTCCTGGGTTTAAGCACTCTGTTTCTCAACAGGGGATTCCTCATCAACGTGGGTGATATAGCTCTTAGCCACGTCCAACCCATTTCCTTCACTCTAACCTCACCCCTTCTCTTCCCTCCTACAACACTCATATGATCCTTCTGCTCATTTTCTACCCAACCAGGATCCACATCCAGAGGACCATTAGTCGCCATCTCCAGCAAGATGCTGCCACCAAACACATATTCCACCGCCCCCTCACTCCATTGTCAGCCTTCTGCAAGGACCGTTTCCTCCGGGACACCCTGGTCCACTCCTTCTTCACTCTCAATAACCGCCCCCCACACCCCACGGCACCTTCTCCTGCAACAGCATAAAGAACAAAACAAAGAACAAAGAAAATAACAGCACAGGAACAGGCCCTTCGGCCCTCCAAGCCTGCGCCGATCCAGATCCTCTATCTAAACCTGTCGCCTATTTTCCAAGGATCTGTATCCCTCTGCTCCCTGCCCATTCATGTGTCTGTCTAGATACATCTTAAATGATGCTATCGTGCCCGCCTCTAACACCTCCGCTGGCAACGTTCCAGGCACCCACCACCCTTTGCGTAAAGGATTTTCCATGCATATCTCCCTTAAACTTTTCCCCTCTCACCTTGAAATCGTGACCCCTTGTAATTGAGTCCCCCACTCTGGGAAAAAGCTTCTTGCTATCCACCTTGTCTATACCTCTCATGATTTTGTAGACCTCAATCAGGTCCCCCCTCAACCTCCGCCTTTCTAATGTAAATAATCCTAATCTACTCAACCTCTCTTCATAGCTAGCACCCTCCATACCAGGCAACATCCTGGTGAATCTCCTCTGCACCCTCTCCAAACCATCCACATCCTTTTGGTAATGTGGTGACCAGAACTGTACACAGTATTCCAAATGTGGTCGAACCAAAGTCCTATACAACTGTAACATGTCCTGCCAACCCTTGTACTCAGTACCCCATCCGATGAATGAAAGCATGCCGTATGCCTTCTTGACCACTCTATCGACCTGCGTTGCCACCTTCAGGGTACAGTGGACCTGAACACCCACATCTCTCTGTGCATCAATTTTCCCCAGGGCTTTTCCATTTACCGTATAGTTCGCTCTTGAATTGGATCTTCCAAAATGCATCACCTCGCATTTGCCTGGATTGAACTCCATCTGCCATTTCTCCGCCCAACTCTCCAATCTATCTATATTCTGCTGCATTCTCCGACAGTCCCCTTCACTATCTGCTACTCCACCAATCTTAGTGTCATCTGCAAACTTGCTAATCAGACCATCTATACCTGCCTCCAGATCATTTATGTATATCACAAACAACAGGGGTCCCAACACGGATCCCTGTGGAACACCACTGGTCACAGTTCTCCATTTTGAGAAATGCCCTTCCAATACAACTCTCTGTCTCCTGTTGCCCAGCCAGTTCTCTATCCATCTAGCTAGTCCACCCTGGACCCTGAAAGTGTAACACCTGCCCGTTTACTCCATTCCCACAATCGATGGGGCCGAACACACCTTCACTCAATCGAGTCTACTGCATTCACTGCTCACAATGTGGTCAACTCTACAGTGGGCAAACAAAACACCATCTGGGTGATCGCTTTGCAGAACACCTTCGTTCTGTCCCCAAACAAAAAAAAGTCCTGAGCTTCCAGTTGTCTGCCACTTCAATGCACTACCCTGCTCCCTGGCCAACATCTCTGTCTCAGGCTTGCTGCAGTGTTCCAGCAAAGTCCAACGCAAGCTGGAGGAATGACACCTCATTTTCCACTTGGGAACTCTAGAGCATTCTGGCCTCAATATTGAGTTCAATAATTTTAGAACCTGACCATCTTTTCCCATGTCATAGAAACATAGAAGATAGGAGCAGGAGGAGGCCATTCGGCCCTTTGAGCCTGCTCCGCCATTCATTACAATCATGGCTTATCGTCCAACTCAATAGCCTAATCCTGCTTTCTCCCCATAACCTTTGATCCCATTCACACCAAGTGCGATATCTAGTTGCCTCTTAAATACATTCATTGTTTTGCATCAACTGCTTCCTGTGGTAATGAATTCCAAAGGCTCACCACTCTTTGGGTGAAGAAATGTCTCCTCATCTCTGTCCTAAATGGTCCACCCCGAATCCTCAGACTGTGACCCCTGGTTCTGGACACACCCATCATCGGGAACATCCTCCCTGCATCTACCCTGTCCAGTCCTGTTAGAATTTTATAAGTCTTTATGAGATTCCCCCCCTCATTCGTCTGAGCTCTAGCGAAAACAATCCCAACCTAGTCAGTCAATCTCTTCTCATACATCAGTCCTACTATCCCCAGAATCAGCCTTGAGAACAAGAACATCCTTCCTCAGAAAAGGAGACCAAAACAGCACACAGTATTCTAGGTGCGGCCCCATCAAGGTCCTGTATAACTGCAACAACACATCCCTGCTCCTGTGCTCGAAACCTCTCGCAATTAAGGCCAACATACCATTTGCCTTCTCTACTGCCTGCTGCACGTACATGCTTACCCCCACCCTCATACCCCAGGCCCTGTCATGCCATGGGCTGCTTTCAGCACAGCCAACCCATTCTCACCTACTCATGGTCCCCATTAACAACCTCTTCCTTTCTCCCAGTTTATTGTTATCCATCCGTTTGTCTGTCTAACTGTCATTCTCTCGCTCTGGCCTATTGTTTATTCCTTTAATCCCATCCCCACCCTGTCTTCAACACATATACCACCCTTTCCTAGCTAGTATCAGTTCTGAAGAAGAGACACTGGACTCAAAACATTAACTCTGCTTTCTCTCCACAGATACTACCGGACCTGCTGAGTTTCTCCAGCAATTTTGTTCTGCTGGAAGCCTGACCCTGCCACTTGAATCCATCATCTGTCTTGGAGCACCCCCTGCTGGCTCTCCTGACACATGACAACAGTCTCTCTGGTTCTGCAGAAGTCAATTGAAATGGACAAATGTGTGGGTGGATTCTGCTTTATACAAAAACATTTTGTTCACCTGTTCCTCAATCCATCATAATCCAATGAAGACAGAGGGGAGAAGGCTCTGGATTGCAATGTTAGGGCTGGTAGGAAGGTTGGGAGAAGCATTAGTGTCACAAGTTAAGATAAACTCAGGAGATTACTCGCACCCCAAAACTGTTGGTTACTGAACAACTGGACTTTCTGTAATGGTCAGATCATTATGGAAATTAGTCCCCAAACCATTCAGAATTCTGGAGGTCATTGAAACATAGAAACATAGGAGCAGGAGGAGGCCATTCAGCCTTTCGAGCCTGCTCCACCATTCATCATGATCGCGGCTGATCGTCCAACTCAACTGCCTAATCCTGCTTTCTTCCCATAACCCTTGATCCCATTCACCCCCAAGTGCTAAATCTAGACGCCTCTTGAATACATTCAATGTTTTGACATCAACTACTTCCTGCGGTAATGAATTCCACAGACTCACCACTCTTTGGGCGAAGAAATGTCTCCTCATCTCCGTCCTAAATGGTTTACCTCGAGTCCTCAGACTGTGAGCCCTGGTTCTGGGCACACCACCATTGGGAACATCCTCCCCGCATCTACCCTGTCCAGTCCTGTTAGAATTTTATAAGTCTCTATGAGATCCCCCCCTTATTCGTCTGAACTCCAGCAAAAACAATCCCAACGTGGTTGAATGTAGTTTCACCAGGTCTAGAAACTCTCTACAGCAACAGAGATGAAGTGTTAAGCTGCTGTGTCTGGTGTTTACTGGGCCGCTGGTGAGAATACAGGTTGTGCTGCACCACCACTCAGGAAAAAGAGAGGTGAATGGAATTCTTACAGGGTTTGACAGGGTGCTGCCCCTGTCTCGAAAGACCAGGACCAGTGGGCAGTGGCAAAGGGACAGTGATTTAGGACGATAATAAGATATGTCTTCACTCAGTGGCTAGTGAATCTCTGACCAACAGGGAGTGACCGACAGGGCCACAGGCCATGTGGAGTGACCGACAGGGAGTGACCGACAGGGCTGCAGGCCGTACAGAGTGACCGACAGGGAGTGACCGACAGGACTGCAGGCCGTACAGAGTGACCGACAGGGCCAAAGGCCGTACGGAGTGACCAACAGGGAGTGACCGAAGGGAGTGACCGACAGGGCCACAGGCCATACGGAATGACTGACGGGGAGTGACCGACAGGGAGTGACCAACAGGGCCAAAGGCCGTATGGAGTGACCGACAGGGAGTAACCGACAGGGAGTGACCGACAGGGAGTGACCGACAGGGCCACAGGCCGTACGGAGTGACCGACAGGGAGTGACCGAAGGGAGTGACCAACAGGCCATAGGCCGTACGGAGTGACCGACAGGAGTGACCGACAGGGCCACAGGCCGTACGGAATGACTGACAGGGAGTGGCCGACACGGCCACAGGCCGATACAGAGTGGCCGACAGGGCCACAGGCTGATACAGAGTGGCCAACAGGGAGTGACCGTCACAGAGTGACCGACATGGCCACAGGCCGATACAGAGTGACCGACACGGCCACAGGCCATAGTCGCTCATACAACAGTATTCATTGAGTATGGCAGTTGCTTCCTATGAGCTGGTGAGAGATCCTGCATTAGAAACCTTGAGAGAGCAGCTCCAGCTGGATTGATAGCCAGTGTTTGAGTAAAGGATACTTGTGATCGAATGTGTACCACAGCTGGAACAGCCAGGCACTCTCGGCTTTAGTGTTCCTTCTCTCCCCTTCTGGACCAACCTGAGGAATTGGAAACGGAAAGGGTTTGAATCCTCAATAATGCATACAGATTCCCAAAACAAAAACCTCCCAATTCCCATATAACACGGTGTAGAGCTGGATGAACACAGCAGGCCAAGCAGCATCAGAGGAGCAGGAAGGCTGA